ATTACGTGTCCCAGAAATTTCAGCTACCTCTTCCTGATGTTAAGTATATGCTTCCTCCTTGTTTGCATCATCTCCAAAAACTCATCCTTGCTCACATGTTCGGTCTATGGTATCCTTAACATCCTTCTGTATTGCTATACCTCCGTTGCCTCGAGTCGCTTCTGCATCTTTGAGGAGAACGTCCAACATTTTCTGTCGTAAAGGAGGACAGATATCACGTAGCAGTTCATTACTCTTTTCTTTGTTGACAACGAAATCCTCCTGTCTAGTAATACTCTGCTTGACTTTTGGAATGCGTCTTTGGCCATCACAATACGTCTTCGGATCTCAGCGTCGCACTTATCGTCCTCTGTCAGAACATTTCCCAGATATTTAAATTTCAGCACCTGCTTGATTTTAGTGTCCCCGACTTGTAAATTGCATTTCGGGCTCGTCTTTTTACTGATAACCATGCATTCTGTCTTCTATAGCTTATGTTTAATCCCTTCTTCTCGCTCTCCTTCGCTACCTTTTGTAGGAGGTTTTGTAATTTTCTTTCCGTGTCTGCTATCAGCACTGTCTTCTACGTATCTTATGCTGTTAAGCTTGTGGCCGCCGATAATGAATCCTGGTAGGATTTCCAGTTCTCTCAGAATTGCCTCAATGTATAAGTTGAATGTCCAGTGAGAAGACACATCCTTGCCTTACGCCCCTTTCTATTTTTGTATATTTACTGAACTCATTTTCTATCCGTATGCAGGCCGTTTTCTGCCACTATAGGTTCTTGATTATTCTAATATCTTTCATAAATATATCAAGGTTGCTGAGCAGTTCCAACAGATATTTGTGGCGTACTTTGTCGAACGCCTTTGCGTAGTCTATAAAACATAGGTGCACGCCCTTCTGCGTTTGTATTGCTCTTTCTGATAACATTCTGAGCATGAATATCGCGATCCTTGTTACGGTGTCTTTAACAAACCCGCACTGCTCTTGTCCTATATCTGGTCTGATTCTGCTACGCGCTCTATTCATCAGAATACGGATGATGAGTTTTGTTATGTCACTCATTAAGCTGATTGTTCGGTGGAGTTCACATTCGTTTGCGCCTGGTTTCTTAGGCAGTGCTATGAAAATAGATCTGCTGAGATCTTCCGGTATATCACCACTGTTGTAAATTTCATTTATTATTTCTATGATCTTGTCTATGCTAAAATTATCTAAGGCTGTCAGCATTTCTGTTACAATTCCGTCTGGCCCTGCCGCCTTGTTTCTGTTCAGTTTGGCCAGTGCTGCTTCCACTTCGGTTTTTAGAATTTCAGGCCCATCGGTAATTCTATGTATTGCTGGTTGTTCTCTTTCGTCGTGAGAGAGTTCTCCAATATATTCGTTCCAGCGCTGAAGAATTTTTTTATTCTCTAATTCCATCCTTTGATTTTTTTTATGCAGCCTGTTGACGAGCATGTCTTCTGTCCTGTTAGTTCCCTTATTTCTTTATGCATATCTCTTTTGTTGGTGGTAATAAATCTATTTCTGCACATTTTTGTTTAGCCACTCTTCTTTAGCCTGCCTACATTTGGTCCTAATTTCGTTGTGTAGTTTTCTGTATTCCGTTCCGTATCTTGGCAGAATTTTCTGTCTCCTTTGCATCATGTCGAGAAACTCATCAGTCATCCATTCGGTTTATCTTCTTCGTCCATCCTCTTTTGGGATGATATCGCTTGCTGATGTCATTAAAGCTTCTCTTTGTGCGTCCCATTTCGAGTTTCCATTTCTATTGTGTCCTTCGTATCTTTTCACACTGTCCATATATTTTTCTTTCAGGCACGGGTCGCTCGGGAGTTTGTTGGATTTCAATTTGGTTGCTGCGTTAGATTTCTTCAGTTTCCGTAGTTTCACTCTTAGTTTAAATATAACAGGGCGATGGTTGCTTCTGTAATCGGCACTTGGGTAGGTTTTGCAGTGAATCATTGCATTCCTGAATCTTTTGTCGATAATTATGTAGTCAATTTGGTTTTCAGTTTCTCCTCCTGGGCGCCTCTATGTCCATAATCGTCTCGGATGTTCTTGGAACCATGTGTTGGCTATTATTTGGTCATTGGCCGTAGACCATTGGATTAATTTTTCTCCACGTTCGTTGCGGCTTCCTAGTGCGAATTTTCCAGCTATATCCCCTGCTCTTTTCCTGCCTACTTTGACGTTTAGATCCCCCATGATAATTATGACTTCTTGTGATTTGCAGTGAGCTTTGGTGCTGTCTAGCATGGAGTAGAAAAATTCTATTTCTTCTTCCTTACTTTGTGCTGTCGGTGCATACACTATTATGATAGTTACGTTGAAAGGCTTACCTTTCAGCTTGACTACCAGAATTCTTTCGGATAATTGGTAGTATTTCAAAACGCATTTCTTGAATTCTTAATCTAGTATCAATCCTACTCTTTTATCGTTTTTCTCTCCGCCTGCATAAATAATCCTATGACAGTCACTGACAAAATCTCCATTGTTTGGCCATCTAGTTTCACATAACACCTAAGATGTTGATTTTTAGCCTACTCACCTCCTGTTTTACATTATCTAACTGGCCACAGTTGTTCAACGTCCGAACGTTCCATGTCCCGAGAATTATTTTTTGTTTGATGCGAGCAGTCGCTGGATAACGGTCCGGTGACACGTGTCGCTCCTTTTCGAGAGAGTGGTAGGTTCCGAAGAATTTTATCCCCTTTACGCCGTTTATGCTAGCAGTCGCTGGATGACGGTCAGGTGAAAGCTGTTGCACAAGTCGGTCATTACCGGGCGAGGAGTTAATTCCCATAAACTTAACCCACTTCACGCCGTTAGGTTTTATATTGTGTGTGTTATTTGTCATGATATTTCTTGGGATTAATAGTGGAGTGGTTTCCCGTTGCCTTCTACACGGTGGTTTAGGGAGACACCACCTCTAGTTAACTAGGCGTTGAGTCATCGAAAGTTCTTCCACCCTTTGTTAGGTTTTATTTCTCTTCCTACTGGCTCGCTAACCACCCGCCTCATTCGCAAAAACTTGGAGCGGGGTAGCCGGTTTAGTCGCCGACATTCCGATTGTGGAATATTTGCCCAATATATATATATATATATGAGATCAGATATAGTCCCTCCTCAATCTGTTTGCGAATAAAAGGTTTGTGGGTCAGAGTTAGTAAGATGGGAGAATAGAATAATTCCACTATCCATTATTAAAACAATACGCGATTATCGAGGAATTAACTAAATACACTTAAACCAAAATGCCAGACTACACACGATATATATATATATATATATATATATATATATATATATAGCTTAGGGGAAAATTTTTCGACTGTTGCCGAATCAGTCGGGTTTCGATCCCGACTTGAAGCAATCAGATGCCTAGCCACATTGATGAGCTGTGATACAACGAAACAGTCTGTGTATATATATATATATATATATATATATGCTGGGCACTTCGCCGTGGTGTAATGGTTAACAAGTTTGTCTCACTAGATCAATTACGACTGAATAGTGAGTTCGATCTTCACTGGGTGCTCAACACATTCGGCCCTGAGCCACATCTAAGATACGCTTTGAAAATCATTTGGGCACCTGGAGGCGGCGTAATGGTTAGCAAGCTTGTCTTACTAGAACAATTACGACTGAGTAGTGAGTTCGATCCTCACTAGGTGCCCCATACTTTCGGCCTTGTGCCACATCTAAGCTACGCTTGGAAAATCACTATATATGCGCACATGCGGAAAATTTAAATTTACACATTAACCTAACAAGTCCGAAACAAAATAAATTTAAAAAAATACATCCAAACGTCATGGGAAAAGGATTTCTTATTTGCTTACAATTGGAATTTCATGTTAATCTTGCTAAACTTGTATCAATGGTCATTTAGTGAAAAGTGTGGCAGACTAAATACGTCTCGATTTCAGAGACCAAATGCGATGGGTTTGATGGGAGGGTTTGTTGATTGATTGCAAACTAAGACGAAGTCAATTGGTAGGGTCTGGTAGCGATCAGTTTTTTACCCGACATTTTTCTTAGGATAGATGCTCCGGAAGTGCTCAACATGTGGCTTCGAGACGAGTTTGAGCAAGCTTAGTAAATGTCAGTCCCACTTTGTTATAAATATTGATAATGAAACAAGAACGTTACCTACAAACAATGAAGTATTGTAAGCAGTAAACTCATTTGCTCCAGATGCTATTTTTTGTGGTGTTCTCAAATATGCGTAAGTCTTAACAGCCAGAATAGAGTTTCTTATTCTATCAATCACACAAAAAAGAATTACCCGTGTAATTAGCTGGTCTATTAAGAGAGAAAGGTGCACTAGTAAAAAAGGAAACACTACAAAAGGTATTTAATGAACGTGTTGGTAAGATCACGTCAGAAATGTATACGTCCTATTCTCTTTTTTGCTCTCTCTCTCTCTCTTTTCTTTCTCTATTCTTCCTCTCTCTCTCTCTCTCTCTCTCTCTCTCTCTCTCTTCCATCTCTTTCTATCACTTTGAAATTCTTTTTCTTCTTTCTCTTTTCTTCTTATTTTCTTTCTTCCTTCTTTCTACTTATTCTTCCTCATACTTTAAAATTCTTTTCTTTCTTTATCTCTTCCATTTTATTTATTTTCCCTTTTTCCTCTCTTTTCTTCTCTCGTTTTTCATTTTTTTAATTCTCTCTCTCTCTCTCTCTCTCTCTCTCTCTCTCTTTGTACTCTCTTGCCTTTCTCTTACTTCTTCCTCTCGTCATACTCTATCTGTCTCTCTCTACCATTATTTTCCATCATTCTCTGTTTCCTCTACTTCCTTCCTTTCTCTTTCCTTCCTTCCTCTCTACTGATTTCTCTCTCTCCCTCTCTGTCTCTCTCTCTCCCTCTCTCTCGTTGCTATTTGATTTAATTCTCTGCTCTCTAAAATTATATATCTTTTGTTTTTGACATTTAAAACAAATGACGCCATATACATTTACTTAATATAGACAACCAAAACTGATGTCTCGTCTCATTTTTCTTTCCATAGGCAAAATTTGAAGACGCTGTTGATGATCTGGACACTGAACTAAAGTCGAGCAACTCAGTACCGCCCGTGAAACAGGTAAATAAGACGTCTTGCTAAAAATGTTTCAACAATAATGACAACCAACAACGGATTTGCGCCACGGAATAATATTGACTTTTAATCTGGGTGGGGGGGGATAACTGTGAGTGGAAAAAAAATTGTCCGAAGTTTATTTCAGAAGAAATATGGTCCAAACTTTTGACTTCAGTCATCATCAGGGTATGTAGAGACAAATAATGAGTGTTGTGATGTAGGCGAAGAGCTAAACTCATTTCCTCGTCCAAAAGGATTTTCCTTAAATAATTAAATAATATAAAACAACCACTCATCAATAATGGTTACTCTAATTATATAGTCTACAAATAAATCAGATTTCATTTAAATAACAATTTTAATAATATAAACCATACTCATAAATATAATAATATTGACAATAACGCTATTAACATATATTTCCAACATCAAATTTACGACAATTAAAAACAGATGAAACAATAATAAAAAAAAAACATCATACATAGATATATAAAACCAGTCGATAAAAATAAATACATTAGATTTATTATTTGCCACAAAAAATTAAAATTAGCACTTTAGTTATTAAAGATAATATATGCCAAACTCCTTATATAAGATCAACATTGTATATGAATATACTTGCCCATTCAGAGAATGTTTCGCTGTAAATAAATAAAAAACACAAAACGTATTATATAAGATATACCACAACCACACTCTAACAGAAACTCACCTGTTACTTATCGGACCAGATTGCCATCAGATAACACATTAATAAGCAGCATAAGGATCATAGTAACATTACAGAGTTACTAACAAACAATACCAAAATATTGCCAAATCACATAATAAAAACAGACTTATGATCCTTGAATCGATCAGTGTATTTCCGGAAGGCAATGCCTTAAAGTATTAAAGTCCAACAGTTTTTGCAAATACAGTCCCCAATATAAAAACATTAGAGTCATAATAATTATTAATAACTAAAATAAAATAGTTCAATAATCGTTTTTCAGTCCATATTAAACTTCAGAGTTTATAGAAGTTCCGTTCAATCGTCAACAGATTTTATTGTGAACTGAGTTTATTTTTTGAGTTGGAATTTTCTTTTCTCTATTAAAGAAAACACCATTTTTATGGCGCAAATTGTTATATATATATATATATATATATATACATAAGAAAGATGACGAGACAAAGAGAAGAGAATGAGGAACAAGAATAGACCCACTTTTTCATAAATACAACAATTTCAGATTTTTTAAAAACTCAGCCAGAGGAACAGGAATGTAGTTCCAATCCAACATACTTTTATTATTCTTTGCTTCAATGTGAACGATCTTATATGCTTATTGGGTTTTTTATGCCTTCGAATACAATAGTTTCTGTGCACCTATTTTAATGTTACTGTATCTCATCTTTTCTTTTGTCATTTAATAGAGAGGCAACGAAATCAAAGAAGAAAAAGAAGAAATAAAGGAAAAAGAGGAATTACAAGCAGAAAAGGAAGTCAAAGAAGAAAAAGAAGTAAATGATAAAGTAGAAGTTAAGGAAAAAGAAGAAAAAGAAGTAGAAGAAAAAGAAATACAGAAAAAAGAAATAAAAGAAATAGTAAACGAAAAAGAAGAATTGAAGGAAGACATAATAAAAGAAAAAGTAAAGGATGAAAAAGAAGTAAAAGATGAAAAAGTAGTAAAGGAAGTAAAAGATGAAAAAGAAGTAGTAAAGGAAGAAAAAGATGAAAAAGAAATAGTAAAGGAAGAAAAAGAATTAAATGAAAACGAATTAGTAAAGGAAAAAGAAGTAGATGAAAACGAATTAGTTAAGGAAGAAGTAAAAGAGGAAAAAGAAGAAGTAAAAGAGGAAGAAGAAGTAAAAGAGGAAAAAGAAGAAGAAGTAAAAGAGGAAAAAGAAGAAGTAGAAGACGAAAAAGAAACAGCTTGCAGGCCTTTGCAGGTGGTGGAAAAGGTAAAGACACGTTTCATTTCCTCATGCTAGAAACCCTCTCTAGAAATGGGATTTTGTTTTTGATGCTAAGTTCGTGCGTAAATTGAAGAAGGGAATTACTTTCAAAAGCTTCTTCGAGATCATTTTTTATTTCGACGAAGTCTATGATATAAATCATGAGTTTAGCGAAGTGTTTCATGACTAAGTATTCTTGATGCGACAGGTAATAATTGATAATAATCTTATGTACAAAGTCTTCATGACGAACCTGTCATTGTGATCGTAGAAGAAACCTAAAAGTTGCGCCATTAATTCAACACATTTTTCTTAATATTCTTTGCTGGTATGGTGGTGGGGGATATATGCCATCTAATATGATTATTTCTGCTCAACGAAGTTAGTTTCTCTATCCCAGTTTTTTTTCTTTTATCATTTAATAGAGATACAATGATACCGAAGGAGAAGAAGAAGATACTTGCAAGGCTTTACAGGTGGTGGAAAAGGTAAGGACATGTTTCATCGCTGCATGCTAGGCATCATTTCTTATTTCTTTATTAAAATCGTACACTTTGGGGCCCCTGTCACCATATCTACCTCAGTTTTAAATTCTAAGACAGTTTTGTCGATTCAGAGTATTAAAGACAGTGGGTAATAATAAAACCTATATATATATATATATATATATATATATATATATATATATATATATATATATATATATACTGGATCCAAGTGCAATCTTCGCTAAATTTACAACCGTGATATTTTTAATTCCGTTACTACCGCGAGAATTTGCAGTCAATTAGATTCACTATAAGTTTTGACGTATTTTTTTAGTAAAACCTATCCGGGATAAGACACAATGAGTTAGCGTGTTCGTCGCTAATTCAATATGTCAGCAGGCTATATTTTTTTTCTAAAAATATTTTACGCAACAATATTTATTTTTTAACGTAATTCTTTTCCTTGTTCAGTGGTGAACGTTAATCCTGTTTCAATGAAAAGTAATAATTTTAAACTAAAATTAAGCTAATCTATCAAACTAGATCTATTGATGCGCTCACGGTATAGTATCCAAGATAACAGGATAAAATCAAATTTCACCTTGTCGATTTCTTTTAAAGTTGATCAGGAAAGTTGTTGAGGAAAATGTATGTGAAGAAAATATTTTTTCATGGTGTTTTTTAATCAGAACCTATATGCTTTACAAAAATTGGTCGTAAAAAGGTCAGCGACATTTATGATCCTAACAAATGTTTTACATGCTCCATACATTTGGTACGACGTTAAAAAATGTTTTGTATGTTTGACGGTATCTTATATTTTAGTTATGTTGATAACTAGCATGGGGGGGGGATAAATTTGGAAGATCTTATTCTTAAGGGATATATGGCTTGTGATTGCAATTTTTTATATTAACATTTGAAGTAATATATATATATATATATATATATATATATATATATATATATATATAGGCATTGTCAGCCATTATGACTTTATCGACTTATCTACGAAGATCACGTGATGTTTTTTTTAGTTTCTAGAACTTGGTATGGACGTCGAAATTGTTTGTTGTGCAGAATTGCAGTTTTCATCAGAAACGCGCGTACGCATGCACACACAGACCATTAAAAAATAATGCAATCATAATATGTCTGTGAGTATGTGTGTGTGTGTGTGTATATATATATATGTGTGTGTGTGTATGAAAATAACTGCAAATATATGTGTGTGAATAAGTGGAAATATATGCATTTACATATATATATATATATATATATATATATGCATACATATACATGTATATATAAGCATATATCAGGTCATCCCATAAGTTCTGTCCGAATTTTGAATAAAGAAAACAAGTTACCAAATGTTACATTTAATTACAGATTCAATCAACAATATATTTTCCCTGATTATCTATGACTTCCTTCCATCTATTAACAAGCTTACTAATTCCATTACTGTAAAATTCTTTTGGCTTTGATTTGAAGAACTCACAAATGTCAGTTTTAACCTCTTCCTGTGTTACAAAAGCTGTTTCTTCCAAATGGTAGTCTGAAGGAGCAAGATCGGGAGAATAAGGTGGATGAGGAATTTTCTCCCAACCAAGTTCTTCGATCTTTTGTGACGTGATTCTTGCTGTGTGGGGTCGCGCATTGTCCTGATGAAACATTACCCCTTTTCGATTCACTAGAGCAGGTCTTTTTTCCTCAAAGCTTGGTTCAAACGCTCTAATTGCTGACAGTATATTTGAGCATTAATTGTTGTATTAGGTGGTAAGAATTCAAAGTGTATTATTCCTTGGCGATCCCACCAGATTGAAAGAAGAACCTTTTGCCCATGAAGTTTCCTTCTCGGCTGGGGTCCTTCCCCTTTACCAAGCCACTGTCTACGACGCTTAACATTTCGATAAAAGATCCATTTTTCGTCGCGAGTCACAGGTCTATCCAAAAATGATGAAACAAGTTGGCGAGAATGGAGAGACGAGCAGATGTCAACTCGGGATTTGATCAGACAATTCCTGAGGCACCCATTTTCCAAGTTTAGAAACTTTTCCAAGTTGTTGAAGATGACGATGAACAGTTGTATGGTTTGAACTGAGAACCACTGCCAATTCCTCAACTGATAAAGCAGGATTTTCTTCAAGGGCTGCTTTCCAGTTCGATCTTCATCTTCAAGGGTGAAATCTCCACCTCTGAATTTTGCAAACCATCTTTTGCAAGTTCTTTCATTCACACATTCCTCTCCATAAACTGAGCGAATGTTTCTAGTCGCTTCGGCTGCTGAGTTTCCTTTCTTGAACTCATAAAGCATTATGTGCCTCAAATAATTCTTGGGTACTTCCATGTTAGCAGGGTTTTAATCAAACAAAATTTAATTTTATTGTTCTCTGAAATAAAATTTGATCACTTTAAATGCATCTAAACATAAAAATAATGTTCAGCTCCATTAGACATTATAAAATACTCTTTAAATTTCATCCATTTTAACAAAAAGTTAAAATTCGGACAGAACTTATGGGATGACCTGATATGTATACATATATATAAACACATGTAAATATATACACATATATAGATGCATATACAAGTGTGTGTGTGTGTATATATATATATATATATATATATATATATATATATGCATACACATCCACCTACATAAACTTATATATACACATGGACAGCAACAATACATCAGTTCCTCCTTTGTCTTTTGTAAACTGCAGAAGGATCATTTCTTGTCACAGTCCAACAATAATCAGCCAGTATTGATGGACTACACATGCACTGATACTTTTTTTTTCCATTACTGCAATGTCTTGATGAAATCGATGATCATGCTTGTCGCTCACAGCACCACAGTTTAGGAGGGGAAAAATCAAGATGCGAGTTTAAGAAGTGGATTTTCAATGACATGTTACAGCCAAGATGTTTGTATGCCTTCAGGAAGTTTCCACCATTTCTGTAATCTTCTTCCCTTTCATTATCCAGAAAGTTCGTTGCCATTTTTTCTTTTCCCCATAGTAATCTGTCAAAATTTTCATCCAAAGCAAGTTTACAAACTTGGGGACCAACAAAATGCCTTCCTTTATCTTTTTCTTCACTTATCCTGGGAAATTTATTCTACACATACTTGAATGCTGCCTCTTTTTTGTCCATAGCCTTCACTAGATTTTTTGTATGACCAAACTTGATGTGATGAGGTGGCAAAACATTTTATTTTACACAATTAATGATGGATGCTGAATATGTTTCCTCCCAGATTCCAGTGATTGTCGTACTGGCCAGTTTCCCTTGATGTAATGAAAACTTCTGTCTCGTCTCTCCCATAACAGTACTTTGTATATTCACCTTGCAGTCCTAGCAAAAGAGCAATAACCTTCAAATTCTATAATCAACATACAGAATTCGTGAGACGCGTGAAGTGAACGCAGTTGCACATTGCGTCGGTAGATGCCATGACTCGACATAACTCTTAGACAATTTTTCCCCATGACGTGTTTGACTGATTTGTTTCTTTGTGATATTTTTCGGCTGTTTGCTAGTTATCGAGCTTTACTAAAAGGGAATCGTGAGTGTTCGTGAGTGTTGTTTCATTTTGAGGAATATTGCTGCCGAAACTGTTGTAATGTTTTGTGAGTTTTTTTCCGAAAGAGATTTTATGTAAAACACAAGTCTACGAGTGATATTCACGTTTCAAAAGAGAACTGGAAGATCAACCACGTTCTCAAAATGGCGAAAATCTTCTTTTCTTTTTTATTTAAGTACGCCACTCAGTAAATGACAATTTATCGTCAGTTCATTGTTAGATATCTGAGGTAATTGATTTGTTTTGGAGTTCATGCCAGCGAATGTTCATGGAAGATTTGAAAATTAAATGTTTCCTCAATCTCCATGTTTTGTTTATTCACGGAAGAGCAAAAAATCAACTGTTCGAGTGTGTTACATTATTTTAGGAAAAACTCCAAATGACCCACAATTTCTCTCCTAGGATGTAAACGGGAATGAATTTCAGTTAATTTCATGCTGTACGAGTTTCGAAATGGACGCTTGTTTCTTTGTTCTATAGTTCTTTTCATGTTTTTTTTCAAAGGGAATGCATCAGTATACCGACATTTTCTAATTTCATTGCTTTTTGTCTATTAATCCACTCACGTTCTTTGATTCTATGAGTTTCGGTTTCTCCTCCATACTTAAATAATAAATTATAATTTCTACCTCTGTTTATCTTTTTTATTATATACCATTGTATATACCATTATTATAACATTCTTTTTTTATTTCCCATATATGTCACATGATGCTAGTTTGATATCTTTCATAGTTGAATGATAGCAAATGTTTTGCATATCTTTGTAAACTATCTCCCAGTTGCTCTGATCTAAATCCTCTCACCTGTGTTTTCTTATGTTGTCACTTTCATCTTATATATCACCTTCCCAATGATTTCCTTGCATTAGACATTTTGTTTAGATTCTATAATTACATTTTTATTAGTGTTTTTGTAGTGTCACTATTTAGTATTTTGTTGTTTCGTTTTGTTTTGCTCAATGTTATATATATATCCATATGAAATGAGAATGAATTGAATATAAATTCCAACGTTCGTAACATTAATTTAAATGAGGGCTCAATACAAAAAGTAGAGCAAAATTCTTTATTTTAGTATATTACATACCGCTATGTAGCGATTATTCGCATGTTGATGTAATATCCTTATATAATGTAGGCGTTTTGAGAAATTTTATATATGTGTGTGTGTGTACGTATGTATGTATAATTTCTCTAAACGCCTACAGCAACAAATTGTAAATGTCTAATGTTACCAGGAATTAGTGGATTGATTAGAAGTGATTTAAAAAAAAAAAGAACTAGAGAAATTGAGGATTGTTGTTCTACCACGACGCAACGGTGACATTCTGCTCTGACACGGTCTGTTTTGCCGCAATTCGCAGCTCAAATTCGCGTTATGATTAAAAATAGAGTTTTCCAAGAAAACGACATTTGGTTACGAAGAAAATAATGCTTGCAATAAGTCAAAAGAGTAGGCATTAACTAAAAGGGGTCATCCAGAGGTACATACATTAAGGCTTTTAACAAATTCTCTTGAGACGATAGCGTGAAAAGAATATAACGTTTTTTCTCTATAAATGCATAAACACAAACACACATACACAAACATAAAACCATATATACAGCCATACAAGTACAGATGCACACAAACGTGGTGTAGTGGGTAGCTAAACTTGTCTGGTTAACCTTATTACCGAGTAGTGATTTCGATCTTCAGAAAAAAAATGCTAAATTCGACATTAAAGAGCCAAACAAGAGTTGCTATATCGTAAAACTAACCAAGATAGATAGATAGATAGATAGATAGATAGATAGAGTTAGGGAACAGAGATAGATAGATAGATAGATAGATAGATAGATAGAGTTAGATAGATAGATAGAGTTAGGGAACAGAATTAGATAGATAGATAGAGATAGAGTTAGGGAATAGAATTAGATACATAGATAGAAATGAAAGAAACATGTATGTCTATAGATTGAGACATATGAATAGAATAAAAGAAATTAATAGAGGTAGATCAATATTCATCGATAGATAGATGTAGTAATTTTTAAATGTTTCTTTTTTAACCATGATATTTTATCAGACATTTCTTATTGCTATAAACGCTATTTTTGTTGAGTGCAAAATAAATAAATTTTAATAATACGAAATAATTTCGGACGAAACAAACGTCATTTATAAATGACTTTATATCTCGGATAGAAAAATAAAAGTAGCAGATTTATATTTCGAAAGATCCAAACGAAAGTTGTGCATTCCTTAAGTAGCTGAGGTTTGCTTTATCATGGTTTCCCGTGGCCTAATTGGTAAGAGCACACTTCAGCAGAAAGAGGGTTTTCCTTGATGAAAAAAGTGAATACAAGTTCGATTGCTGTCGGGGAGCATAGTTTTCTGTATTAAGGGCTTTTCGAGTCCTAGGCCGGTTGCCATCTATTTCACTGTTTAGAATTATTAAATAACCGTGAATATCTCGATGCCACATCTTGTCTGTTTCTTCTGCTAAAACGAATATTATTACTACAGAATCCAGTTCTCACCTACTTAGGTAGAAGAAATGGGATTCATGCCTTTCCCAAAGGTATTTGTGTGAAAGTGAATGCAATTATCATGACCGGAATTCAGCAGGCCGGTCCTTCGTTCCGTGCTCACAATCACTACGCTTCTTCATAGTAGCCCGATCTAAACGTTCCACACCTAACTCAAACAGGAAGGGTGGTAGCCCAAACCAAGTTTTTGCACTTCACACCAAACACTGTCCAGCAGAAGCTCGTTGAATGGCTGACCTGATGATGGCCTACAGAAATATCTGCAAAACTGGAGGCAACCACTGACATGCATCATTGATGCCAAATGATTTGTTGAATAGGAATCCATGTTACAAGAAATCACAATAATCTGTGATTTAATGATTTTGACAGCTGCCATGACAATTCTTGCAGACTCTTCTTCAATATTCTCTCTTTTTGCGTCATACAATTTGTCATTGATAATAAGACTGGCCATGTTACGGAAGAAAATTTTTCCTTTCGTTCACATCTGTAAAAAAAAAAATAATAGATGGTCCTTTATAACGTTCTCAAAGTTTTATTTCTGCCTTTTTACTGAATATAAATCCTCGGTCCTGTTTCCAGCAATTTCTACCATTCGTTCATACTACTCGCTGTGTACAACTTGACTTCCTCTTCAAGCCAGGCAGATAATTTGTTAAATACTGTCAACATGACGGGCTCCTCTGGACAACCACTACTTTCCACTAGGAGAAGCTAATACCTTACTGGAGCCAAAACGGGCATGACACGATTTATGGTAAACTACCTCTGCAGCAACAAGGTCTATTCAACTCTCCAGGCGAAACTGTACTTGCATGGTCTCCGCGCCCACGACTTTTCATTGGGTGTATCTTTACGGAATGATAAAACCCGAACAATTCGCAAATCTTTATTTTTGTCAGGATGCCTCTCGTTAAATAAAATAGAATTTGTACAGAAAAAAAACAATTCTCTTTTCATTGGAATGTGCTAGTTCCAGAACGTAATTTCTGCTTCTTAGGGTTGGAAAATTCGGGCTGTTCATCTAACTTTCGTAAGCGTTTAATATCAATGAACTGGCGACGACACTCACTATGAACAAGAACTTGGCCAAGAGGAACACTACTGTTTTGCTAAATAAGGTGTTCATGGAGCTCATCTCTGCTATGAAGCTCACTAAACTTGATGAGGTTTGTTAGTCCACGTGTAACTTTCACCTGATGAGCTACTGTTTCCAAGCCATTGCTGCAAATCACACACAAGTTCTCATCGAATTTGGCTGTCTGGTGTTCTTCCATGACGAGCGCAGTTTCAAATGTTGGGAGAAAATTGAGAAAAGCATTCTTTTGCTATCTACCGGAGCAAACACCAATATAATTATAGTTACATGCTTTTGTTCTGAATTTCTCAATTTTTTATTATTCCGATTAGAATCCATTACAGTCCGTACACATCCACAAATCAAAACATACGACAATAAAACAAGCTGATGATAGTCTATACTCTATTCCAATCGTTTATGCAAATGTGAAAATGACTTCCTTCAAATTTTGTGAACTTTCTTCCACATTCTTATATTATTCAGTTATTTTCCTTTTGTCGATCGTTCGATAGAAAATTTTTAAAAAAAGCAGACGACATCATAGAATACATATATTTTAACATATTGCTTATAGAAAGAATCGATTTGGCCAAATGTTCAGCTTTACATTATTTATGGTCGTTGCTAATTTATTAATAATCCATGAAGCTGTCTGTACAAATCATTTTCTCAACCCGTCAGACAAAGAGAAATTCGCTTCCATTTTTTTTTTTTTTTTTTTTTTTGTCTTGAATTTGTTTATCTAGAATAATGGGCCCCGTAAACATCGCACGATTATTGCGAAATATGAGATTTATATATCTGTGTATTACATGAATGTATAATATATTTATTCATGTAAACACATATGGCCCAACAACAGATTTACTTCAAAAGAAATATTAATGATGAGCATAAAGTAAAAACAAATTCTGCATATATCTGAGAATAAAAAAGTTTATCAGAGTGATAGCCATGATCTATGTTAATAATTGATATTATCTATACAATTCAATGAATGTTAATTTTCGAAAACATAGCTTTCGGGCCTGTCCAGCCATTAAGCTGCGTAGATTTCTTAAAGTATCGTCTATATAAGTTATGGAATTCGTTGACAGCTTAGTAAAACGCTTTCATATTTTTTTAATATTTTACTTTATATGAAAATAGGTGTGTGTGTTGGCGCGCATGCGTTCATTTTTATTGTTATTATTATTATTATTAATGGTTCGACCGCAATGCAGTTTCCTTTTAAGGTTACATTTTCGTAGGTGAATGAAATCAAGAAAGAAAAGAGAAAGAACAAATTCGTGTCTGATATTTATAATTAACATAATCACGTGACAGGCTCCTGGGTCACGCGCTGGAAAAAGACTTGTACGTGGGTGGATTGCAACGCCCACTTGTGTGTTTATTGACCAATTAGAAGTTGAGATTTCCTGAAAATATGTATGAAGCTGAGTAAGCTGTTTGATCCACTTTTGGCACAGATTTGTACAAAATTCAACATTGACAAGAAAGTAGTATCAGGATGCTAAACATATAATAAAATTATTAACAATACGCACATACTAACAAATTGTAGCGACTTCACCCAAATCTGTTTAAAATACTACCAAACAACGAACATGAAAATCTCTTTCATGACATTAATCTATATAATATCCTACAATTCAACTGTATTCCAAAATATAACTTAACAAAACTACAACATAAAACACGCATATCACCACCACCTCTGGTAATTATGTCCACACAAATATATATATGCACAAAAACTGAGAATCATCTACCATGTATACAATTGTGAAAGCAGAATAACATATTTTATTACTTCCTAACTTCCAAGAAAATTTAATTTCGGCATTAAATGATCCCATAAAGAGTTGATATATGTCATTAAACAGACAAATCAATCAATCAATAAGACAGGAGAAAAAACGTTAGATAGGAAAAAAAAACCCTAGAGAGTTGATAAAATATATGTAGATAAAATAATGAAAAAAAATATTTTTATTTTTTACTAATGGAAGAATGTGAGATGTTTTATATTAATTAGATATTAAAAAATTAGTTCGGTAGGTTTACCTCTCCTTATATATATACTGGCCCGTTTTATTGTTTTATGCAACAGTTGGTAATACACCGCCTTATTAATGATATCGTTTTTGACGAATTATTCCTGTTCGGTTCGTGCGTAAATGTGTTGCAAAAATACATTGATACTTCGTTACAAGAGGACACAACGAAACCGTGTTATCTCGTAATTGTCATGTTTTGTCAAAAGTTAATCTGCTGTCAAAAGCCGGAATTGATTTCAATTGTCGCACGTTTTCAGTTTGCTTATAGACAACGAAGCGAGAACTTCCGGTTGTTTGGTCATCATTTGTATAATTGGCTCTGGCACTAGCTTAGTATCGGTCACCCGTAGATCTTTATAAACTCCTATTAATACGACTTCATGCATAATTTATGGAAATAACTTACATTGATCGTCAAGAGTTTCTATTTCTGTGTCCGTTTAAGAGATAGTCCGATATATCGAATGGAAACACTTATAAAAAAAAGTAACATGTGGCGAAACTCATACAAAGTCCAAGGTTTATCTACTAAATATGAATTTGTATGTGGATGTGCGGATAGAAAGATGGTTATCAGCACGAAAAATTAAAGTCGCAGTTCATGACTAATGGGTAGTGAGTTCAGTTATTACGAAGCGACCATGTTTATGCTCTTACACCATTATTAAACTAAGCTTATTAAATGACGACGGCACATATGCAAATGTATATGTGTGTGGGTGTGTAAAAATTCAGATATAACTTAAAATGTATTTGTGAGAGGACAATATGAATAAAAACAAAAGGAAAACTTCTCTTAGCCAACGCGTTTCGTCCTCTGATGGACTTGTAGGGAGGTGCGAAATAATAACTCCCTTCAAATTCGGGGAACTGAGGAAAAGGAAGGAAAGGATATCGCGAGCCTATATGAAATTATCTTTGATGTAAATTCTCTCTCTCTCTCTATATATATATATATATATATATATATATATATATATATATATATATAAAATAGCAGTGCTATTAAATATATATTAATAAATATACATCATACTTCACGCCGACAATATCACTCAGTTTCAACACACACACATATATATATATATATATATATATATATATATATATATATATATATATATATATATATATTATTATAATCTTATTTTATCATATAAACAAAACCATTTTACTCACTACAAAGATGCAACTTGACGGGTGAGAATCGAAAATGATTATGAACAATCCTGCTTGTAGGCAAGCCGTGTGTGTCACTTCCTTTTTTCCATTTGT